TTTTTAGGATTCGATACCATCGACGGACGAAGATGAAATTTTAGAAGAATTAGAAAGAAATGAAGAATTAACAGAAAAAGCCAAACATTTAACAAAAAATGATTTAAATAAAATGAGAGTGAATTCAAAACAATCATTTTCGGATGATGCACTCATAAGACAGTGGAAAATAAATCAAATACCTAAATACGGACGTAGAGCGAGGACGAAACCTATTTTAGAAAGGAAAAATCATAAAAAATTCGAATGCCTTTGCGATATCGATAAATCATTTTCACGACATTACATACCTCATTTTGGTGGGGGAATCAAACGCGAAAATGAAGAATTTTTAACTCCTCATTTTATTGCTTATTGGAAAAATATTCGAGAAGGGGTTACAGGTACGTACGAATCATATTTAAAAAAAAAACACGTTTTGTTTCATGTTTTTTTTGATTTCCGGTTTTAGAAATAGACGAATGGAAAGAAGCTTGTAAACATAAAGAAGAAGAAGAACCAAAAGCTGAAAAGGGTCTTTTATTTCATCCCCTACCTAAATTTCCAGGTTATTCAAAACGTGATATAAAAAATTTCAGAGAACAACTCGTTTCATCTTTTCGACCTTTAAATTGTAGAGAAATAAGAAGGTGAGTTTATGCGTGGGCGTAATAACCTTTTCACTGAGAGGAAAAACTCAAATAATTTTTTTTTTCTTTTTCGCAAGATTAGATTTCGCATACCATTTTCCGAAGCACTTTATTTAGAATTACAAGAAGATAGATTTTTCGATTCGGCAAAATTTTTCAAAAGTTTAATCATACAAGATTATTTAGCGAGTAATCGTAGTAATTACGTACCCACATTAACACGTCACAGAAATAGAATGCAATATTTAGTACAATTTTTAAAACTAGCAGAAAAATTTTCTAAAAGAAGTAACAACAACAACAATAAATCTTTGCGCATTAAAAATCAATTTAGAAAAAATTAAATTTACGTCATCAATCAAATCTTTCTTTTCTTTTCAGAAGAATATCATAAGGAAGCAATCGTTCTTCTCAAAAGTGGTAAATATTTTAATGATCATAACGATTCGTGGTGGTGGCTATCGGAAGAATTATATAAAAAAGCAGTTAAAGTCAGTCAAAAAAGTGTTATAGACGGTGGAAAATCAGAAGCCATTTCAAGATACATATTTGGAACATTTTTACTCGAATGCGGTTTGTATATAAACCTGAAAAACGTTATTCTCGATTTTTTATTTTTAATTTTTAAAATATTCGCAACAGTTAATCTTGGACAACTCGCACAAGAACAATTGTCCAGAGCTAAAGAATTATCCGATGGTAAAGATTGGAACGCAGAATCGATATTGCAAAAAAAACAAGAACCTGTTTTTAAAGAATGTTCTAATTATCTTTGTCAAGCATTGATAACGGCTAGTAAAGAATTAAGAAATAATAAAAAACCAGAAGATGCACTCCCACTCATACACAGATCGTATAAAATTTGTTTGGAATGTATGTAACACGTGTGGGGGGGACACATCGTTATTTCGTTAAAAAATTAATTGAAATTTTCATTTTTCCAGCAAACGCACTACGAAACGACATCATTATGGAAACCTATTTCGAATTGGGTATGACGTATAAATCATTAGGTTTGATTGAATGGGCAAAAGTTGCGTTTAAAAAATTTATCGAAATTGCTAAATTTCAAAACATACCCAAAAGCATATGCGACGGTTATCTTGAACTCGCTCTATCCTATCGAGGGTAAAAACCTGAAACAAATAATAATAATAATAATTATAATTTTGCTTGTATAACGAACCTTTCAAAAATTTTCCAACAGGGAAGATGATTTATTACGTTGCCATCATTGTTTGGTCAATTATTTAGAAACTGCGAAATTTCACGAAGATGAAAATTTAATTGCGTTCGGAAATCGTTACATAGGAGAATTTCATTTAAACAACGTAATGCCTTAAAATAATAATAATAATAATAATAATAATAATAATAATGATGATGAGAATGATTTTCCCTCGTCTCAGGGAGAAACTCAATTGGCCGAAGAATTTTTAAGAAATGCTTTCGATTCTTATATGAAACAATATCGTGAATGTTTAACGACGCCATTGGCATCTTGGAAACCAGGTAATAATAATAATAATAATGATTAATTATTGTATTTACGATTTGAAAAAAAAAAAAAAAAAAAAAATTTTTTTCTTATTTTAGAACATTTCACGCTTCAACACGACGTCGAACTTACGAGAACTTTAATCGGTTTGGCAAAAGGTAAATAAACGCCCTTAACTTTCCCCCCCCCCATCTCCCTCTCTCTTCCCTCTCTCTTCCTTCTCGACAGTATTTAAATTACAAAAAAAAAAAAATTTTTTTTTTGTCACGGATCAGGAGAAAGAGTAACAAAATCCGTTTGTCATTTGATATTGTTAACAAAAGAATCGAAAGATAAAAATCAAATAATAAGATTAATAAATTGGAAAACAAAAAAAAATCAATGGGAGATTTATTCGAATCCGATATAAAAGATTTACGACCGGATGCTTTGTTGGACGAAATTGAAGAATTTTTAAATAGTGAGTTAATCACGTGATATTTAACGTGATAATGATAATGATAATATTATGGGAATTTTTGTTATAAAAAAAATTTTTTTGCATTACAGCTTCGTTGAATAAAAACGATGCACGTTTACCGTATCAGGCACCGTCGGAAGAAGCCGGTCCTAAATCTGTGAGATTTGCCGATGGTGTCAATGCCGAGGAAAATGCGTAATTAATCGATTAACACGTGAAATCGAAATAAGGTTTCAGGTTTCGATAAACCTTTTTTTTTTTTTTTGTTGGAAAATCTACGACCGGATAAAAAAAAAAAAAAAAAAAAAAAAAACGTAATCGTTATTTTTTAAATTTCCCTCGCGGGAATTGCAAACGTCGTGATTTCCGGTATTTCCGCGTAAATTTTTTTATCTAACGATAGCAAATTTTATTCAATTATTATTATTATTATTGCTAAAAATTAATTTGCGGTAAAATTAATAACGGAATCGACACACAAGCACGCTTAATAAGATTATTTTTCCGCCACCGGAAACGACCGTTTAATTAACTACATGAGAATTTATCAGGTACTTTATTATATTAACACAATAAAAACGATTCCCACGGGAGTTTTCTTTTTTTTTCCCCCTTTCTTCCCTCCCCCTCGGAAAATAATTTAATTATTATACGCGGATTATTTAATTTTTTTTTATTCGATGATGATAATAATAATTTACGCGCACGCACACACACGTAAAAAATTAAATAAGTCAATATTATTACGTTTGATGACACTTGTCGTAAAATAATATTTACAAATGACGTCATCAAATATAAAATTATGGATAAAGAAAAAAAACAAAAAAATTTTCTACATATTAATTATTATGTACTTGGCGAACGGATAAAAAGGTCGGAAAAGTTATCCAACATGGAAAACGGATTATTTAACGTTTTCCATCTCTCTCTCTTTCTCTCTCTTTTTTATAATATGATTGGTACGATTTAATTAATTTCTCATAATTCTATCAAATAATTATTAAAATTATTAACACATAAGCTAATTAATAATTTTTATGAGTTCCCGTCGAAATTTGTTGTTAGTTCGTTATAAAATTATCGCCTTGTAAAAAAAGAAAAAAGAAAAGTTTTCCCAACTCGTGGAAAATGATGACGTAAAAGGTGAGAAAATAATTTCAATTCGTTGAATTTATTTAATAATAATAAACGAAACCTTTCATTAAAATATATATGTGTGTGTGTAAACAATAAAAAATGAATTTTATTATTATTATTATTATTATTATTATTATTATTATTATTATTATCGAACAAATAACAGAAGCTAAACCATAGGTAACGATATTAAATTTTACAAATGACTTTTGAATCACATCGTAAAGAAACTTGAAGAATTTTTTTTGAAATATTTCGTTGAAAATGACCCCAGCCCCGCCCCCCTGACGTCATTTCCTCTACGAATAATTTTCCCTTTTGTTTAAATTATGTATGTTATGATGACGTCGAAAACAAATCCGCTGTTCGTATAAATTACATTTTCGAGGGAATTTGACAATTTTAATTGATAGAAATTTTTAAATAATTTGTTATTATTATTATTATTATTTTAATTCTCTTGCGGAATTATTATAATTCCCACCCCTAATCCCCCAAACCCCTCCCCGTTTCATTTCTACATCGATAAATACATTAACGTTGTCGTCACGTTTAAATATATTTTTTTAATTTTTTTTTTTTACTGTTGGGATTTCTTTTTCGAAATGATAAAATGTCGTGATAAAAATAAAAATAATAATAATAATAATTATTATTATTATTATTATTATTAAGGGGAGATAGGGGAAAAAATAGAAATCGAGAAAAATTCGATTATCATACGTCGAAGGTTTGTTTGATAATGAATAAATTTTCATGAATTCTCCCCTATTTATACCCTCATTGGCGCCTCGGTGCGGTAGCGAATCACAACATCGGATTTTATTATAATTTTTTTTTTTTGTTTACACGGTTGGCAACATTGATTCGCGTCATTATTAACGAAATGATAAACTCGCGGAGGTTGTTTCTAATGCATTTCATTTATCGTTCGCGTGGTGGAAAAAAAACGTTCGTGAAAATTTTTTTTTTTTCCTTTTTCGATGGAAAAATTAATATAATAAAAAATTATTATTATTATTGTTATTATTATTATTATTAGTTATCATCATCATCATCATCGTGACACGTTAGGATTAAATTAATGAATTTATATGAAAATAATTAAGAAAAAAAATGACAAAAATTTTTTTTATAAGAAAATAACGTCATTTCTTTAATTTGTTAAAAGAAAAGAAAAGTTATTCTCATTATTATTATTATTATTATTATTATTATATATTCAGTCGTTTTTACTTTGACGTTGAATTTAACAAAAAATCTAATTATATAAATTAACATTAATAAAAAAAAAAATTTAATTTATTTTTCTCTCTCTCTTTTCTTTTCTTTTGTAGAATTTTATTATCACTTTCTTTTTTGAATTTGTTATTTTTGTAGTTTTTTTTTTTTTATCCTATTTAATAATCTCAAATAACTTTCGTATAAATACCTCCCCCGGTAGGAGAGGGGGTGGTTTAATAACATCGTATGATAAATTATCGCATAATAAAATTATATAAAATACATTTTAAGTTAAACAAATTCTCGAAACAAATTTATAATAATAATAATAATAATACTTTTTTCATCATCAAAGAGACAAAGTTTTGTTTGTATTCTTTTGAATTGCACACACACACGCACACACATATATTATTTGCAAAATGAAATAACGACAGGATTAATAGTAAATAAAAAAAAACTTTTTACATTAACATTTTATTAATGTTTGTTATAAAGAAAAAGGAGGAGGAGCAACAGGTTTTAAAAAGAAAATAAATTTTTTAATTTTAATTTTTTTCTTCTTTTGCGGTTTACGGATTTCGTTCTAAAAATAGGGAGACGAGGGGAGTAAGGGGGAAGGGGGTAGGGAGGGAATAAAAAAAAGTTTTTCATTATCAACATAAAACGAATAAAAATCCCCTCGGGTTTTGAGTTTTATTTTTTTTTTGTAAACAAAATTATTATGAAAGTATTTTGACGTTCAGATAGCTGTAGTATTAAAATCTCATTTTAAATAAATAATAATAATGATGATGATGATGATGATAATGACGAAAGATAAAAAAGGAAAAAGGATAAAAACAAACAAACAAGGGGGATGAAAAAAAAAAAAAAAAACAAAATATCGCCTGCGAATATAATGAAAAAAAACGCGAAAAGCATTTCGATTTATATTGTGTGTGTGTGTGCGCGTGCGTACTTGATTTTCTTTTTAATAAACGAGTTTTCCACGACGAGTAGTTTGGAAAAAAAAATTTTCCCCCCTAAGTTTAACATATCGTAAATAACAAACATCGAATCGTAATCATTGTTTATTTTCTCCTCGTTTTTTTTTTTCGAAAAATTTTCCATCGGGATTCGTTAGCCCCCGCCCTACCCTACCCCTTACCCCCTCCCTCTCCTCCCTCCACCCCCTAAATCCCCCACAACTTTTCTCTGTATTCTTCCATAGAATTATAATTTTAAATTAATGCATTTCATCGTGTCATGAATTTTTTTTTGAAACTAATAAATTACATCATCATCATCATCATTATTATTATTTCGGTTTTTTCGTTTGCATCGTAATAACGAATCCTGATGCTGACGATGTAAGAAGATGTTAAACAGGAAAAAAAAGGGGGGGAGGGGGAAAAAGAAACCAAAAAAAAAAAAAGGAAAGTCGAGCGCGTGCGTTTGCAATTTTTTTCCTTTTTTTCCTTTTTTTCCTTTTTTTTGTTCATTCGGGTTCAAACCGGTTTATCGAGAGAAATAGAAGAAAAAGAAAAAAAATTTTTTTTTTGTCAAGTTGTCACGAGTGATTCGCGATATATCGGCGGTTTTAATATTTAAAAAAAAAAATTATTCGACGATTATTATTATTATTATTAAATATCGAAATAATAATAATAATTAATAATTATTTGTGATTGTTTTTTAAGTAACGATTTAGGTACTTATAATAAACAATAGACAAAATTAATGGCGACGTTTTTCCCCCTACCCCCACCGCACATCAATTATTATGACGTCATTAATACGCAATAATTAATTTTGTGCGTCTCTTCGATAAAGGAGGATTTATAATAACGACGATTCGGAGTCGAAAAAGTAAGTAAAAAATAAATTATTTATTTATTTAAATAAATAAATTTATGTTTTTTTTTTTATAAATAATAAAAATTTCAACTTTTAATTAATAATTTATTAGAAAAAAAAAAAAAATTCGAAACGATAGTTAGTGCGTGATCGAAATCAATTTTTCCGTTTGAATAATTTCTTCTTCTTCTTCTTATTATTATTATTATTATTATTATTATTATTATTATTATTATTATTGAATTTTTTTTTTAATAATAATAATAATATAAATTTTCGAATTCGAATTTCGTATAAATTTTCGAAAAAAAAAAAAAAACTTACCATCGTCTGATTTGTATTCGAAACGTCGTATTTCCCAAAATTTTATTATCATCATTATTATTTTTTACATTTCTCCTCCGTTACTTAATATAATTAACTCGCGTTTCTTTTTTTTTTTTTTTTATTTCGAATTTATTTAACGAATTTATTTAACCGGTAAAAAAAAAACACAAAAAAATTACACTTTATAATTATTATTATTATTATATAAATAAAAATCTACCCAAACGTTACGTAAACGAAATGTGAGAAATCTAATTTTAAAAAAAAATTTTATAAAATTCGTTAAATTCAAAATTTTCCCATTATTTAACTCGACGATATCATCCAATAAAAAACTAATAATAATAATAATAATAATAATGATAACGAGAGCGTTTTTTAAAGTTTTCCTAACCGAATTCGCGAACGTTTTTTTTCTAAAATTTGAAATTTTAACGGATTAAAGTCACGAACGATATTAAAAATTTTAAAAGTAAATTTTTTTTTTTTTAACTAACGAATATCGATTAAATTTAACGAATTATTTAAGATATGAAATATATAAAAATGCAAAAACCGTTATTTTAAAAAAAAAAAACGGTCGGAAAGTAATAATAATAATGATTATAATTAAGATGTTAATCTTATGAGAAAAACGTTAAATGATAAAAATTATATTTAAATAAATAA